ACGCTTTCCTGGTCTCTGCTAATGTTTCTTTCAATAAATCTCACCTAGCAGCAAGTGTTTTGCAAAGCCCTGGACAGTCTACTTCTGAACTCCCCTCCTCTCTCACTTCAGAGCTCATCTCTCAACTGAATGTCTCATTCCTTGTACCCTCAGCTAAGAAGAAAGTATGCACACTACTCCTCCTTACTTCCAAACACCAAATCAGGCCCTTTCACACTACCACCCAGTTTCCTTGGAGAACTCTCTGCCTCCTTTTCTGCCTGGCAACCTCCTGATCATCCTTCAGTACCCAAGTCTCACAGCCCCTCCTTGGTGCAGTCTTCCCTGTGTGCTGCTCTCCTCTCAGTGCTTCCAGAGCACTTGGTATGGCTCTTTATAATGCTGATAAGGGAGCTATGAATGTCATCATATACATCTGTGCCACCACAGGCCAGGTCACAAGTCCTAGGAGTAAAGGGACTAGGTCTTACTCACTTTTGCATCCCAAGAACCAAGCCCAGGACCTGGCATTTGGAAGTCCCGTATTAAATGTTTGACACTTCAGTCAATGCCTTGCCTATGTTTCCCCAGCCCTCCCCTCTGTGTGCAGAGAGCCATGTGAAATGTGGAGCCAGGAAAGGCTTTAGAGTCAGAAACCCTGTGTTTGAGTCCTGGCCCTTGTGGGCAGGGACAAGTTATTTAACCTGTAACTGTCTCACTTTTCTCCCCAATATAACAGATAGACATGCCTACCTCTCAGAGAGCTGCTATGAGGAAAAACAAGGTAATATATGTAAACCTAGTGCTTGCCCAATGCAAAGTGCTCAAGATGCATTTCCTTGAGCTCAGCAGGAAGTGTTGGGTCAAATGGAGTTCTACAGAAAAAGTGAGTGGCTTCCATTCTGGTTTATGTGCCATCAGCATAGTGACAGGATGGCCAGCCTCTGACAGAAAGAGCCCCTCTCAGAGCCAGCGAGAGTGTAATCCATGCCCTTCGCTGGAGGTTCTCACAAGGCCTGCTTAGCAACAATGCTCATGTGATTTTGATTTGAATGGCAAACTCACAGGAGGATACTGCTGCTAAGGCTGGGCCATCATATAGCCTTCATTTCCTGTCTTGAATTAATCTTTCACCCCAAAACACATCATAAAACAGAATAATGGCAACTCAACAGTGTTAAGTCACTAAGTACAAATCAAAACAGCCTGCACATGAGAAGCCTAAACCTCTCCATGCTGTTGCATCCAGGTTTTATTAGGCCTTGATAAACAATGAGGTAGGAGCAGTGGGGGCCCTGCTAACACCTGAGATATTCAAGTGCAGGGTGGAGGAGAAAAGAGGAAGGCACGGTGGCTGAACCCACATGAGGAGGCAACATGGAACTGTGGAGAGAGCCACTTGCTGGGAATCAGGAGACTTGGCTTCTGTCTCACTTCTATCACCGGCTTGCTCTATGGGTGTGTTCGAGTCATGTCTCTGGGCCTCAGTTTCTTTACTAATAAATGAGAGAAGTGGATTAAAGGATCTATAGTTCTTTTCAGCTTTAATACTTTACAATTGTAAATGTTAGAGGCAAATCCACCTTCCCGACCTAGTCTTTCCCTTTTTCATGTTGGTTATTCATCTGAGATATCTCTCATCTCTCACTGAGCAACCTTCTACCAATGCTATTCCCTTTATTTCTCCAAAGTGTCTGGTCACCCCTGATCACAAGGGTTGGCCAACTTGGGGCCATATTCTTAAGAACATATTGACTACCCTCTGATCAAACAACTCAGTACAATCCAGGTACCCTGGGGCATCAAGGACTTGAAAATCCCAACAACCTTTAATCCCATTTTCCTCTGATACCAACCAACTTTCACTCCTTAGATCTCTAACAATCTCACCAGGTTAGAGTCTTCTCCCATGCTGCTTGGCAGGAGACTAGGGCAGCAACAGGGAGTTCTTATCTGCACTCTGGCATAACTCAGGGTGGGGCAGGGGAGAGATGGCAAAGCTACAAAGGTCAGGATGAAAGTGCTTACAGAAGCAAGATCTGACCGCATGAGGAGGAGGGGTGATCTGGAGGAGAAGACAGTGCTAATCACAAGGACAAACTGAGAGAGGCACTGAGGACCAGGACCACAGAAGTCAAGGAGACTTCTTTAAGATGCCACCAAACTTCCACCCCTCCCTGACTTCCTGAATAAGAAATCTGAAGGCAGCTGAGGTTCTATGACTCGCCCAAGGCCACATAGCTAAGCTGTGGACAGCCAACACCAGAATGTGGGTCTCTTGGTCTCAGCCCACTCTTGTTTCTGCTCTATTCTGTTGACCTCAAGAGTCTAACGAGGCCAGCTGGATCCCTTGCAGACTCTAAGAAACATGACCCAAGTGTCACTTAGGAAAAGAGCAGACCCAGCAGATATTTTGATAACTGCCTTCCGGAGCCTATGAATTCTTTCCCATCTCGACATGGTTTTCTTGTTCTTTCTCCAGCCCTTGCCACAAAAATATGGAAAAGTTCAGAGGTCAGTGACAAGGAAGAGGTAGGCTCCCTTGACCCTACAGAACCCTGCATATCTAAGATAATACACACCTGTCCCTCTTCCTCAGTCTAGAGAAGGTTGGTGGGGGAAGGGTAGAAGGAGGAGATGAGTGAACTGCCTGGAAGGCTGACCTGTTTAGGCCACAGGTATTATTCATGGGCAATTAGATGGGTCACTGAAGGTCTGTGACAACAAACAATAGGATCTGCTTCTGCCAAGGACCTCTATAGATCAGTGTCTAGCATATCATCTCAACGTCAGGAGGAGGAAGCTCCAAGTAAAAGTCAAGAAATTAATTATTCAGTGTGCGTGACCTAGTTCCCAGAGGTAAGGGTGGGTGAGAAGACAGCTCACCAGTTCCTTATCATGACAAGAAACTCAAATATTCCACAGGGTAGTGTTCTCTTTGCTGCCAAAAAGGGTCCACTTATGGTTAAGAGTGGCCAAAAAAAAAGCCAAAAGTCACTCATTCCACAAGTGTTTACTGAGCTCCTCTTATGTCTCAGGCCCTCCAGGGATTTACTATGGTTGGAGTTTAGCAGAGGAGAGACATCATGGAATTTATAAACAGCAGGACTGCGCCATGCTCCAGCTCAGCCCTTAGACAGCTGCATTGCCTTGGGCAGGTTAAGCCTGTTTAAGGCTAATTTCTCATCTGTAAAATGGGAGAAGTCCACCTGCTTGATCATGAAGATGAAATGACCTTTATAAAACGTAAAGTGCAAAGAATATGAAGTGTAAACAATCATGATACAACATGACACACTTCCCCTGCCCCAGAGAAGTGTATAATTTGGGAATGCTTTGGAAAATAATCCGGGGTACCTATTTGGCAAGCATCACATTTTCTGTAATTTGGGGAGATTTTATGTTTCACCCTGCCAATGGAGATGAAGCTGGCAGTCAGTCCCAGTCCCCAAGTCCAGGAAGTTGCAAGAAAAGGTGGAGTGAACACAGAAGAGTAGCCAGGACCCACCTGGCCCTGGGTCAAGCCTGGATTGAATGGATGAGCCAGGAGGGACCCAAGATTCCAAGGGGAAGAGAGAACAGCAGCACATGTGCTCAATCAGAAACAGAGCAGAACCAAAATTCATCTGAGGGCAACAGGATTGAGCCAGCCAGAACTGCTCACACTCCCCTCCCCACACACATTTCAGACAACGTTGGAATTTACTGTTCATCGCCCGACCCTCCTCTGTGGACAAACTGTATTCTGTTTCTCCAGAGAGGGGACCGTTTCTCAGGCTGTGGCAGACTGGCCAATCAGCTCTTTGTCTGGGTCTTTCCCCAGATACTAAGAATGAGAACTCCTGGAGCAGCTTTCCCTGAGGTCCAGTCAACCCCTTGTCATCCTGCCATTCAGGACTCCCGTGGACTTCTCACCCCACGTGATCCCTCAGCGCCCACCAGGCCAGCTGCCAAATGCCCTGACACGCACGCTGGCTGCCCCTCCGCTGGGGCCTCCACCCATGCCCAGGTTTCTTGGATTGGGTCCTGATGCTCTCCCCTCACACTCACCTTCATCCTCCCTCCTCCCACAACTAAACTGAGCCTCTTCAAGGCCCTGCCAAGGCTCACATGTCCAGGGAAGCTCCCGGAGAGAAGGGTGAGTTTTATTCATCCCCATGTTCCTTCTAACTCATGGCTTTCTGTGAGTTCTTTGCCCTCCTGTAAACACAGATTTATGGTCCCAAAATGTTCTCTGATTGCTGTATACAGGAGCAGAGCAGAGGAGGAGGGAGGAGGGGTGCCAAAACGCCAGACTGGAAGTCCAGGGCCTGCATTTCGATTCTCCATTGGACACCAGTGAGTCCTGTCACCTTGAGAAAGTATCTTCAGGCCAGGCCTCAGTCTCCCTGTTTGGCAATGAGGGGTTTACTCTAAACAACCTTTCTAATTATAAGGTTTGACATTACAGAAACCAGGCTAGCCTGAGACACAGAAGACCTGAGTCCTAGGCGCTTATTAGCCTACCACCTGTGGCAGGCTATCCGACTCCTCAGACCCCAGCCTCCACATCTATAAAATAAACGAGGATAATATGACCACCCCACCCAGGGCACAGGGTTCCCATGGAACACTGCCCGTGATAAAGCTTTGTGGACCGTAAAGCCCTGATCAAACCTCAGGGGTGAGACTCCTTGAGTCCACAAACAGCTGCTGGTCCCTGTGATGTGCCTGGTACTGTACCTGCCGAGAATTGCTGCCTGACTCAGACAGGAAAGCTAGAGTCTGGTTCCTTGCCCTCAAGGCTCCCTCAGCCGGTAGGTGGGACAAGCAGATGAACGAACCTTAACTCAGTGGTGTATCTGAGGCATGAACACAGTGCTAGGGGAGTGCAGAGGAGGCGGTGCTGACTCAGAGGGAACAGTGCGCCCTGGGCATGGCAAGCTGCCCCAGGATGGTGGGAACATCCCACACTTTCCTAAGCCTAGGACCAGCCCCCAGGAGCTACTCCATGGTAAACAAGATCTGCCACTGTGACTTACTCACTGGATTCTCAGGCATCACAGTGGTTAAAGTCTTCTCTTTCTGGGATGAGACACACACAGGTTGCCATGTTCCTTTAAAAACAAGAGCCCAACAATTAATGTCAGTGACATCATCTCAGCTTACGCCTCCTTTCTAGTCTCCTCCAAGAGGTCGCGCATGCTTGTGCACTTTGCCTTGTGGGACACTTCACCCAGCAAGAGGAAATGGACAGAGAATCTCTCTCTGTGCTCCAACAAGTTTTGCACATGAAGAAAGGCACAGCAAGATGGCTAAACAAATTCTATTGTTGGCTGCAGTCAGGGCACCCTAAGGGCTTATCAGATCTCTATACAAAGACTTTGCTGAGGAGTAGGAGGGATCTGGAAAACAATGCTTTATTTGCTGCTTTAGTAAAAACAGAAAGTGTCAGAATTTCTAAGCATGAGACACAATGAAAGTAAATCAAGCAGGTGTAAAACTTGATAGCAAGTCCCCAGTGTGAAACTGGTCCCATTGTCTAACGCTGAGTAAACTAGGGAGTTATGAAAGTGCACCAGCTGATCATGGCTGAGTTTCCTAAACCAATTATTCTCTTGGCTTCTAGTGACGACCCACATTATCTGATGACATCCTATTGCTTCTGCAGAACATACCTCTACACCTGTTTGGAAAACAAAGCCCAGAGTTACAAAATATTTCTAATGATTTACCTCCACATTAAAAAATAAATCAAAATATTTAAGAAATAACCTCAAGGGGACAAAAACTAACACAGTTGTGAAATTTGACATCTATAAGAGGCAATACTCATACTCCAGGGAGGTATACGCACACTTTGCTCAACAGAGTGGTGCCTCCACACACACACACATACACTCTTACACACACACACACACTCTCTCTCTCTCTCTGGCACACAAAGAGCACGTATCGTTAGAGTGCTGGGAGATGGGATTCGATTCACTGTTCAAAATTCTCAACCTGTTAATGGGAGAGAGCCTACGAAGTGCTGTGTACCGGTCACACGTGGAACCATCAAGGGTGGAGACGACCTGCTTTATCTCAGTGGCTCCTCACAGACAGCAAACAGAGGCTTGCAGAACAGACGGCACTTGCCAAGGCCCCAGAGCAAGGCAGGATTGGAGCCCAGGATCGGCTGCCCCAGTGCTCATGGTTTTTCCCACCCAGCTGAGGGGAAGGTGTCCTGGACATCAACTCTGAGCATAGCCCTGGTGGGCCCACACACTGGGCGAGCCTGGCAAGTTCCAAGGGCGGCCACCTGGGCAGAAGCGGCAGCCCTGCCCGCCCATCATCATCATTATTAAGCCCACACCCCTCGGGGCCTGTGCCAGCTGACAAACAGGCCGGCTTGCCTGGGCCACATTCTATCAGCCTGAGCTGCAGGCTCTGTGCTGCTGCTTCCAGCCAGATGTCAGAGTGGCTAGAGGCCTTGACTTGTCTGCCCCCTGCTTCTCAAGGGGAGCTTCTGAGAGCCGTGGGTGGGGAGCTGGACATCCTGGTACAGAATTGCATCATTGGTCCAACCGGAGTTTCAGAAGCCAGGGACCCTGTCAATGCTTTCTAGATCTCAGGAACAGAAGTCCCTATCCACGCTAGGGCATTGTGGAGACAAGCAGCAGGGACACGGGGCTCTCTAAGGTTCTGCTTGGGTTGTCTTCATGGTGGGTTGGAGGTAGGTATGACTGGACCAGGCTACAAGGGCTGACCACCAGTCAGATGCTCACAGAGGCCTGGGCACAGTGTCTGGCCACTCGAGGGACCAACTCGTACCCTCTGTCTGACCAACAGCCAAATACACTTTGAGCTCCCTGTAACACCAACAAATAGAAGGTCCTAGAGTCCAATACCTTCTGGCCTTTGAGCGTCAGGGCCTCTGTTCCTTCATCTGTAAAATGAGGAGCTTGATACAATTGGTGATTTCCTCACCTGGGACCCCATTCAGTGGCCCTGCTCCAGGTACCCTGACTTTCAGAGACACCAACAAAACTACTTAGTTGTTGTAAGAGGAAGGGGTTAACCTGTGCACAGGTATTGCCTTGGGTAGTTAACACTGCTACCTCAGCTAATATACCCAGCAACCCTGTAAGACAGGTAGTACAGTATTGTTACAGAGGGGGAAACTGAGGCATGGCCCAGCAAAGTACCTCACCCAAAGTCTCAATGAGCAGAGACCACAGCAGCCCTGGGACTACCAATGGAGCTGGCCTGAGTCCACACCCATGCTCATTCCCTGACACGATATTTTCCTTTGTAATCAACCAGCATGAAGAAATGCCGTCTCTCCTTGGACTTGCCATCAGGCCAGTGTCGAGCAAAGAAGCATGAGGTCTCTGGTCCCCCGTGGCCCTGATTTGGGTGATACAGGGAAGGTTTCCTGTGAGATTAAGTGGGACATGACAGGCCCAAGTGACAGGAACTCCGGGAACCTTCCTCTTGGATGTTTTTCAAGTCTAAGTTCTTCCCTGAGGGACCCCAGCACTTGGACAGGGCCTGGAGCCTCCAGGCACTCAGTAAATATTTGTTGAATGAAGAAATGAATAGTTTCAATGCACTAAAGACTTGTTCAAGAACCATCTGGTGTAGGTCAGTGTGAGATATATCAAGACCAGCTAAAACCTCACAGCTGACCCCTCAGCAGCATGCAGCAGGTAGGGGTCTCCACATCCCAGCCCCTCCCCAGACTGTGGACAAAGACTCAGGTGCTGAGCCAGACCAGGGGAGCTTCAGACAGAACAAGAGAAGTGTTACCCAGTGAGGCAGTTAGGAACTTGGGCCCTACCATCAGGCAAACCAAGGGTCCTATCCCAGCTCTGTCATTTTAAATTAGTTGGATGGCCCTAGACAAATCACATCATCTCTGTGAGCCTCAATTTCTTATTTTAAAATGTGGATGATGTTAGTACCCACTTCATAGGGCTTCTCTGAAGATTAAATGAGATAATGCTATAAAGGACTTAGCGCGCTGCTCGCTCAGAGCAGGTGCTTCGAGGTGCTGTCTGTTATTATCTGCATCAGAGTGGGTGGTTAAGGGCACTTCTGGAGCGCTCTGCTTGGATTCAATTCCAGCTCTCCTCCTAACTAGCTAAGTGACTTTGGGCAAATGGCTTAACTTCTCTCTACGTCAGTTTCCTGGTATGTAAAACGGGTTGACGGTGAAGATTAAATGAGTTATGCAGGTAAAGAGCTTAGAATGTGTCTTGCAAAGTAGTTCAAGAAAAGTGAGTATTATACTTAATCATTAATATTACTAGTATTCTTCTCTTTCTCTCTCCTGATAACAGACTCCACCCCATCTCCCACTCTCCAGCCAAAAAGGAGGGTATAGGACTCAAGGTGGGCTCATGGGAGTATCTTTTCTCCTTAGCAATGGTACGAGGGGTGTGCACATGCTCCAGACCAGGCCAAATTCCAATCTGAAAACTCCTGGGGAAGGCCTGGTCCTCTCAGGTTGGCGGCAGGGCTGTGTGGAGCCAGCTGGGAGCTGCCTGCAGCCATGGTGCACTGAACAGGGGACTCTGGTCTAGGGATGCTGGAGGTCACATGCTGCCTTCCTGGGGCTTGATTCTTCCGCACCTCTTTCGAATCTTTGAGCCTCCCCGAAACCTTCCAATGTATCCTTTTTAATCTAATTTTTTTTGTGTGTGTAGAGACAGGCCCTCGCTATGCTGACTATGCTGATCTTGAACTGCTGGCCTTGAGCGCTCCTCCAGCCTCAGCCTCCCAAAGTGTTGGTATGAGAGGCATGAGCTATGCATCCCATTTTTGCTTAAGCTCATTCAAGTTTGGTTCCTGTGCCTTGAAACCAAAAAACTCTCAATTAATAATAGCCCTTAACAAGTGCCTGCTTTATCATCACCAAATCCCACCCAGGAAGAAAAGCCAGCTGCACACCTGGTGAGACCCAGGCAGCCAAGTGAGAGCAAATATGTACAGCAAGGTATCTACGGACTGAAGTGAGTGGAGGCCACTGCAAGCCCCTGGACCAGGGCCCTTCCTGGGAGAAGAAGGTACTGAAACCAACAGCAAGCAGCCCAGCCCTGTGCTTCCTGGCTGAGAACCGAGCCTCAGAGCCAGCCCCAGGGCCATGCCTATTATGAGAGGGGAAGAAGAGAAAGAAGGAAGTTAAAGCTGATTTTCATTGACTTTGAAGTGGTGCAGAAAAAAAAAAAAATCCAGACAGCTATTTAAAACAACTCTTTTTAGAGGAGGAAGTAAGGGAGAAAGCAGGGAGCATGGATAAGTGAAGAAAACTTGCCTTGTTTGAGTACTTAAATGTGCCATACACTGTGGGTCACACTCTTTGAGTTGTATAATCTTGTCTAATATTCAATGAAACACTGGGAACTGGATGATCATCCAGCCCATTTTCCAGGTGAAGAAACTGAGGCTCAGAAAGGTCAATAACTAACTCACCAAGGTCATGCCACTAGTGCCTCGTGCCTGTTCCACCCAATGCACTCCACCTCCTCAGTACATTCTGATTTCAATGGAGCCTGAGCTCTTTTTCTCACACAGCCCATTTCTACTGTCACTCACATCTGTGCTCAGATCCCTCAGAGGTGATGGCAATGTCCTGCTGCTCCTTTATTCATAACTACTCAGAGGAAAGGGCAGCACTGAGACACAAACAGGAGAGGCAGTATCTTGACAGCCCAGGTACATCCTTGGGCAAGTTTCCTTTTTGAGACCTTAGTTATTTCAATCTCAAAGAGCTCTAGTGTGATTTTACTGGATGGCATGTATCAGTGGGTTTCCTGCTCGTGAGGGCAAGATTTGCCTATGGCTGATAAGCAGCCAACAGGCTGTAAAACATCATCTCCCTTGCATGTTTTTTGTTTTATTTTTGTTTTTTTTCTCAGTCACCTGTCCCAAGAGATTCTGACTTAATAGGGACGACTATAGTGCCTGACGCATAGCACTGTGCTAAACAATATTATCTTTGCTTGTCTCACTTACTCACTACTTTCTGGACCAGCACCCAAAGATGATCTATTCCTGTACCCCATGCCTACTAATAGCACGGGTTTAATTCCCTTCAGGAAAAGAAGTTGCACCTTCAGGTGTGTTTCTA